TATGACTCATATTTCCTCATCTATATTGAAAAAGTATAATGCATTTTCATTATGGATAGAAAATGTGGATGCTTTTCCACCGGATATCCCCCTCCCACCCCACCGTTCGTTCCTCTACGCCGGTGTAAAGCGGCGATGCGCAACCCTGCCGCGCGCGCACGCTCAGCGGCGGGTCGGCCGCGGCGCGCCCCGCCAGCCCATAGCCTCACGTCGTCATTGGGCCGTTTGTGACCTTACGCTTCAAGATACGGCAAAACGAACAAAATTTCCAGTCAGAGGGCTATAACTTGCAATTTTACTGTAGAATTGATATGTCACTTGCAAAAATGTTTGAATTTTGGATTTAGGCCCTTTGAGGCACGGGTTGAAATTGTTTTAAAATTCTTTCCTTTTAGGGGGTTCATTTAAAGACGACATAGAAACTTTTTAGGGGTTGACCGACTCGATTTTCGCAAAACTCAAAAATAAGGTACACCCTAAAGGGGGGTCTGCACCCTGACCGCTATGCGGCCCAACCCCCGGGAAGGCGCCTCGCGCCCTCTGGCCCGCCTCGCGGACCCCATACGCATATGTATTGGCAAAAATTTTCTTCCATTTTAATACACCATTTGGTGTTCAAGCTGCATCGATTTCAAACTTTTTGACGTAACACTCAGATTTGTAAATGACGAGGAATAGCTGGATGTACATAATTTCACAGTCCACTTACTGGAGAAATTTCCATGTAATATGTTACTTTTAAATACATGATTAAAAAAAAATCGGATTTCGATCATTAAGAGTTAATAATATTTAGTCCGTCCCGACGCGACGTAGCGCCTGCCTTCTCACTTTGTATCTGCTGTTTATCTGAAGTAAATATTAATATAAATTCAGCAATCAGGTAAATTGACCAATGTCACAAATCAAAGCCGGAAGAATGCAGGAAAAATTGACTTAAACCTTATACCTTATACCTTGGACCTTGAACCCTGAGCGATGCACAGTTCCTCACCTCTTTGAATGAAGAGCCCTTCACGAGTTTTTCCATTGTTCTATAGTTTATTCGAGTCACTCAGGTAGAATCCCACACCTCGACGTTTCTAGTGGATACGACATATCTCTCACGTTATTAACATTGGACTTAAGTGACATGAGTTTTAAAAGCTCTACAACATTGAAAGTTCGGGGTTTCATAATTTTTTACACATCTACATCTACTACAGATGACAGACATGTAAAGATCATCCTTACCGGTCCGGCAGTTCGTCAGAAATAGTGCTTCCAAGATTTTGCTTGTAGCTGTATAATATAGATTTGGTATAAGGTGCCTGACAGACTGTGCTCTAAATATCAAGCCCATCAAGTCGTATGAATTCCAAATCGCGCTGAGCCTCGTAGAAGAATGTAAAATGTTTACCATCGTGACATTGAGTTTAAGTTGAGGAACACGACCCAATTTTCAAGGTACTTGACGAAGGAGTGCCCAGTACCAAAATGTTTGTCCTTCAGGACTTTCGTCAGTATTAGACGCCCAAGTAAAGTTGATAATCAAAGTCTTGGGCACTTTTCTAGCCACTTCATTTGCATACTTGGAAAAGAAAAGGAAAAACAACAAAAACAAAAATAAAGGAAAAGGAAACACAATAGTCATACCATATTACACTTTTAATTTTATGCTCTAAAATACAAGAATTTATATTGTCCCACATTTTTGCTATACCTTTAATCGCAATCTGCTAAAAGAAGTTCTTTTCCCCTTTATTCGGAAACAGGATAAATCGCATAATGGAGTCTCCCAGAGGCAATGTATTACTGGTCGGCGTGGGAGGAAGTGGAAAACAGTCCCTTGCCCGGTTATCAGCCTTTATCTCTGGTCTCGAACCATTTCAGATTCAACTAAAAAAGGGCTATGGTGTCAACGATATGAAAGTGAGTTTTCTTGTTACATGTTTTTTTTCAGCATACTACAAAGGCTATCCAAAAAGTAATGGAATAATCGACTTTCAGAGCGAACGAAAAAAGCTAAAATAATCGGTGTTCGTGTTTGTATAGACGGAGTAGAAACTGATAGAATAAGACCTTGTTGAGCTCTTTTGGGCAAATATTGATTGAGATATGACGTTCCTCCCGCGGTATGTTGATATACCGCCTGCAGGATTTTAGGGATACTGTTGGAAGTTTGTATGGTTTCATTTCAATGAGAGGAGTCGCAGATTAACATGGATAAAGTTTATTCAAGAACACAGTGGAGAGCGGACATGATGAAGAATGAATGGATGATCAACAGTACAGAAAGGTGGTGACTACTTGAGTCATCGGTGTACAACACCGATTTGCATCAAATGCGGGAAATATGAATCTGTCATTCCAACATGCCTCCCTAATTTATAGTCCAGTCAATCTAGCAATTTTCTGGGAAAATTCATATATAGAAGGTTTTTTGCGGAAACATGTTGCAATAGGCTACCAGAACAACGTATCAAAAGTTTAATCGGCTGTCCACTAAGGCCGCCATCTTGAAAAAAGGGGGCGGGGGGCCAAAATACGCCGCCGGCGACCGGTTTTTAGCTTATATCTTGAAAATTATCAATCCTACGGACAAATTTCAAAGAACCTTTTAAAAAGATCATAAAATTTCCTATTAGAAACACTGTGCATTTGTCAAATTGCGACTTCTGGTTCGTGAGATATAGCGGTAGTTTCTTGCGGCCAGGAGAGATATAGCGGTAGTTTCCTGCGGCCAGGAAAGTCGAATCTTGCGTGAAATCGCATTTTTTCAACGAAATCTGTAATTATCTTAAAGACGGCGAGTCTGAGGCTAAAAACTGTTTTCACCGAAATAAAAGAGCATAAAATGTCCATGCTAGAAATGCTTATACATTTACTAGGGGGTCCGCTCCCGGAGCGCTATGCGGTCCGAACCAACGGTGGCTACTACGCGGTGAGGCTTGGCATGGCCGCGCCTTGAATTGTTGCGGTCCAAGATGAAACAGCTTCACCTTTTTAGTAGATTTACCGCGAAGGTAAGTTACATTATCCATTTAAATATGCACTCATTTCCTTTCATCATGAACTCCCCCCCCCCTTATGTCACTCTAGTTGTATAGTTAATACCTAACTGTGAACGGTCACGATTGAAGATAATGTTATAATGTTATGCTTTCTTATTCAAATACAATTTGTCAAACAACAAATCTTCTTTTTTCAAAGTAACTAAAAGGAAATGAATTAATACAAAACATAGAAATAGGGAGACAAGCATTTCTTCGTTTATTACCTTAAGCAGTTGTTGCCAGTTTAAATTTATCCTCTGCTTCCACCTCGATCAGTGTTTCTGCTTGATTGCTGCAACCCAAGCCGAAACAGTGTAGACAAATATCACTGCATAGTAGACCAGCTCTCTTATAAGAGCAGCAGTTACCACACCCTTTCGAACTTGTTCATGAGATGATCTGTAAAATTTCCTGGGGGGGGAGGGGGGTAGGCGGGTTGAGCAATATTGAGAATAAGCACAGGAAGGAGCCCGAGTGCAGAAGATTTCCACCCCCGCACCTCGGGATTCGCTGATTCGGTTTTCTTCCTCTCTATAGTTGAATTTGAAAATATATTCGTAGATAGTGTTGTTTGCACGCATCTGAAGTTGGGGGCAACGTTTACAGTTTCACCACAGTTTTTTGCCTTGCCAAAGCACGATTAAAACATTGAAATTAGCATTGGTTCAGTGTAGTATGTACAGTGTTTCTAATAGGAAATTTTATGATCTTTTAAAAAGTCTTTGACATTTGTCCGTAGGATCGATACTTTTCAAGATATAAGCTAAAAAGCGGTCGCCGGCAGCGTATATTGGCCCCCCGCTAGGGTGTGTCTTATTTTTGAGTTTTGCGAAAATCAAGTTGGTCAACCCCTAAAAAGTTTCTATGTAGTCTCTAAATGAACCCCCTAAAAGGAAAAAATTTTAAAAAAATTTTAACCCGTGCCTCAAAGGGCCTAAAGGGCCTAAATCCAAAATTCAAAAATTTTGGCAAGCGACATATCAATTCTGAAGGAAAATCGCAAGTTACGACCCTTTGGGCGGAAATTTCGTCGGTTTTGGCGTATCTTGAAGCGTAAGGTCACAAACGGCCCAATGACGACGCGAGGCCATGGGCCGGCGCGGCGCGGCGGCGGGGCGCGCGCAGGGTTGCGCATGGCAACATTGCAGCGGCACAGAGGACTGGACAGCGGGGCGGGAGGGGGATATCCGGTGGAAAAGCATCCTAATTTTCTATCCATAATGAAAATGCATTTTACTATTTCAATATAGATGAGACAATATGAGCCATACTAGAAAATGAAAAAAGTGACAATTAGTTAGCTCCAATAAATTAGGAGCGTAAGTGGGGAAAATTTGCCTTAACTACAGAACAACCCTGAAAATTTCCGGGAAATGAAAGCTGCTATTGTCAACATACCTGTTGATTATCAAAACAGAAAGTTCGTAGCCACCGGAAGTACCGGAAACCCAGTGGTTTACTGATTGAAAAGATAGGTATGAGCGATGTTGTCAAATACCCTTACGCCCTTTACGCGATCAAATGCGGTTTGTGTTAATTTAATTGGCAAAGTTAAAGAAAAATTTGACGAGCGAAAATTGCCCTTAATTCGGGAAGTGCTGCAAGTTTTTTTCCATCATGTGAAGTGTTTGAACATGAGTGTAAATGACAGTGCATGGGCAACCTCCCATCTAGTGATTCCGATTTGGATTGAAAAATGCAGAATCCCAGTTATAAAAAGTGTCCATGTTTTTGAAAAAATTTTACATTTTTATGAAGAATGAAGGCGCGTGTCGAAAAATGCTAGCCGTCGATCGCTGGCTCAAGTGAGTTTGGAGACTGATTTTACGGCAAAAGTCGACGTGCTATTTGACATTGCTTTAAGCGATGCTCTAGATCTCATGGACAATGAAGAGGATAAATCATTTTTAATTCTTCAGCGAAAACCTGAACGAGAAGGTATCATATCCACCGTGAAGGACACTATTCTCGCAGCACAGGAGAGGAGAACAGACGAGAAGAAAGCTCGCGCCCAGGAGAGACTTTCCAGACAGGAAAAATTCAAGCTCGCTTATGAATCTCGTCAAACGGAAGAGAGTAAGTTTTTTCATTTCATATGAAATCATTGAAGGTTGCATGTATCAATAAGACTCTGTTTACCCTCCTTTTCATTAGCGCATTTGACGCGGCATCAATTAGAAAGATTCATATGAGAGGTTCAATCTGGCTCCGCCCACTTACAGTCGATGTTGATTGCCTGGCCTCTCCCACGGGCATATATAGCATATTAGCTCACCCGCAATTCCAGACGTTCCAATATAGTCCGGGAGCACATGTAGTCCCGTGGGACCGTTAATGATACAAGTTGGCGAGATGGCTTGATCTCTTCGTCTTGATGTCCTGAAACAGAATTTCGATGCTGCCAGGCTCAATTTTTCCCGGAACACCCTTAAATTCAAGATGGCGCCCAAAATGGCCGCTACGGGGGTGAAGTGGGTGAAAGTGACTCCCATGGTCGACATGTATGTCGATTCCTACGTATTTTTGGTCGAAAATTTCAAATATTTGCTTAAAAATGTACTCCGACTTCTTAAAGCCCCTTAAATCCAAGATGGCGGCCAAATTTCCCCTCCTGAAAGTCAAACGGCCACGTGTGCTCCTATATGGCATGTGAGGTATCTTACATACCATTTTTTGGGCCGTAAAATCCAAAAATGATGTTAAAAAATCCTTTGCGATTCATTTAAGGCTTCAAATTGCAAGATGGCGGCCAAAATAGCTGAAATTTTGGAACCAAAAATTCTATAATAGCTTCTCATATCATGTGACGTATCGAACCCAATAGATTTCTGGTCGTAGAATCCAAATCTTGAATTCAAAATTCACCCCGGCCCCTTGGGATGTCCAAAATTCAAGATGGCCGCCGAAATTATCCCTCACAGGATCATACAGTCAGCCTTGACCTTAGAATAGCAAGATATGTATCCATTTACAGGTTTACTGGGTCGTAGAATTCATAAATGAAGGTTAAATCAACCTTTCAAACTATTAAGAACCCCCCCCCCCTTCAGCATAAATTTAATGGGCAAGATAGCAAATCATAATGAATCAAAGATTATGTAGCTTTAAGAAAATTACACTAAACGAGATAGGATTGTCTTTTTTTTGGCAGAAATAAAAATGAGGTTTTATTTACAGACAAAGTAACAAAATGAGAAAAAGTTTATAAAGCGACATGATACACACATCATAGGTGTACATTTTTGGAAAAAAACGAAGCAAGCACAGGTTTTTGATAAGAATTTAGGGCGTTTTTGGTTTTTCTCTGGGTTCAGTCTTTTCAATGGGCATTAGGAAAATATTTCAAAGGAGAATGCTAGAAGAGGATCCTTTCAGGATGCCTTGCAACTTATCCTTCGTAATAAACTTATCATTCATAAACAAGAGCACTAACACTAAACAATCAATTGCATTTTGTAGCACCTAGCTATTCGTAGAAATGTAAGATATTCTTGGTAACGCGATTATTGCTAATTAACTGTTACCAAGGAAAGGAACAAAAAACAAAGCAAGAAGAAGAAAAAACCGGGCTTGTAAACAGTTAAGCAACATGACCTTTCAAAATTGAACTAAATTATCTTTTAAATGTCTGATAACTACTTTTTTCTGAACATCCCATCAATAACGAGAGGCATAAACCAAATTATTTTTTAAACAATTTTGTCTAGAGTTTTTAACTATTTGTACACCGATAACACCGGTCAACATGGGTTCCGTCCTTCGAACCAAACCAATTTTTTTCGATTCCTAGGTACTACAGAAGCCCGAAAATGGCCATATTAACTTCAGAAAAATTGGCTGGTCCTCAGGGCGCCGCCATTTTGAATTTTTCAAAAT